TGTACGTGTATAATGTGGTAGTATTTAAGGAGGTGATTGAATTATTGGTCCTACTATATGTACAATCATTGCATAACTAATCTAATAATAATCACAAAATTGTCCGGAAAGAAGAAGGAAGAAAAACCAGTGTGTATCCAGGTATATATGCATGGTTGGTATGTTACAAACCCACCCAATCTCTTAATAAAAACAGTGATTGTAACAAATCATTTTGGATTGTGGAGCACACATTTAGCTATAGGGGTGTTCGGTAATAGTTGTTAGCTGATTGTGTTAGTGGATTTGACTAGCTAGTTCATAGTATTAGCTGATTGTAGGGAGATGTTTGGTAAATTAGATGTTAGTTGATAGCTGATTACAAGCAAAATAACTTTCTCAAAAAATTAACTGAAATAAGTTACTTTTGGAGTAATAAGCTGTTACAAAAACTAATTAATATAGATGGGGAATTGAGATAACTCAAATACTTATTAGTCATATTATTTAGGTTAGTTGAAACATATACCCTACTTGCCAGTTTTGTGGCCTTAGTCTATCCATGTGTGCCATTTTCAAAGATATAAATTTCTGTATGTTTCTTGCTACGGTTTGACTGGTAGCGTGTGAATTGAAGTGCATGCGTGCCCTCTACTATACTTTCATACCCGCCGTCTGTTGATATATATAATTAGGATAAAATGAGAATAAATATTTAAGTGAAAAGTGTGGATAAATCTTAACCACTGATTTAGTTTATGAGTTTATCTAATGGTTGAAAAATAAAAAATAAATATGATGATATTTCTGTAATTATAATTATGCATTTAAAAATGCTTCAAAGTGCATTCGTGAATAGTTGATAGTGTATTTTGAAATCCTTTTCTAAATACACTGTCACTACTGGAAATTATGGAATTTTTGGCCACCTGAAAGTGATCTTAAATCAAGTTGAAACCAAAAAGTGATCGGAAATAGCAACAAAGGTTTTTCCGGATACCAAAAGTGGTTGGAACAAGACTTTCGACTTGATTTAAGATCACTTTTAGGTGGTCGGAAATTTCAAAATTTCTAGTAGTGTGTCAAGCATTTTAAATGCATAATTGTACTTATAAATTTATTATTATTATTATTATTAATTTTCAGTATTTGATATGAGATCTGATCCGTCTACTTACAACTCTTTAATATGACACACATACACGAGTTGGTTCTCCAATATAATATTGCATATACATAAGTGAAATTGTGCTAATTAAAAGTTAAATATTCTTAACTACAACATCAAAGATTTATAGTGTAGATATTGGGGAGTAATGAAGATTATGGTGATGATGAAGGATGGGATATAGATAAGAAGAAATGTGAAGAAATGGATGGGTAGTTGTTGCATCAGTCCCACAAATAGCTAGCCAAGAGATAGAGAAAGTCTCATTTCATCATCCCATCATTGCTCTTAAGTTCCCCACAACACCAACCATATAATACAAGCTTTTTATTTTATGAATTTAATTTAAATCTACCCTAGATTAATCATATGCAACCATAATTACACTACATTTTTTCAAAATTATTATTATTATTATTATTATTATTATTATTATTATTATTATTATTATTATTATTATTGTAACGTGGTAGAATTTTCATAATTACGATGGTGCAGTTTGAAACGTTTGATAGTGCATCATGTAACTAATAACACTGTTCTCATGATCTATATATAATAGTGAGTTCACATGTGTGCACTATTAGTTATCCGTTGATGCACTGTCAATCATTTCTAAATAATGCATCATCTTAATTACATAAATATTACAATATTTTTCTTATTTTATCATTAATTTACATGCATCTCTTGATAGACTGATCTCTTGATAGACTGATGAGATTAATTTACATATTTTCACAAAGTTACGACTTCACATTTAAATTTGATTTTATGTGTGTGTATAACTATATATGTGTATGTATGTACCTAGGAAAGGAAAGGAGCTGAGGAAACTAATTAAGCATGCAGTAGGGTACCTTTATAAGCGTGCATGACATATGAAGAAAAGTATGTGTGTACGTAAAATTTTATATATATATATATATATATATATATATATATATATATGAGTTGCATACACACACATATAGGCTCAATATATATTATAAAGTCGTAGCATCAAAGATAGGGTTTAGGAAATGGATTATAAATTATAGGAATGCCCAAATATTTAACATTAAACATGGTACCTTAAAGACCTTGCGCCATCAAACTTTGGCTGTGAACTAACGGAAAGGGTCCCAATTAATTATTGGATTATTAAACTTAATTTGTTTAATTAATTTGTTGGTTATATATAAATAGATAGGGCATTTAAGCCTATGACACTTTAGAGCATAGGCTAGCCTTTTCTTTTCCTATGGTTCAAGCTAGCTTTATCTTCAATTCATTGCTGGAAAATTAAAAATAAATAAAAAAAATAAAATTTTGAGGTTATTATATTTGATATTGGGCATTAGAATATCACACTGTTATGATTCAGTGGTCCTTTCTAATCTCACTTTGATCCACTTCCGATCTGATCTTTTTGAAAATGGAGGGTTGGAATATGTAATTCTTTTTTTTTTTTAAGAGTTTGAATGTGTGTAATTAGTTTGTGTAAATTATAGGTTACGGTGAATTTAATTGTGGTGTAACTTTGAACGCGAATTGAATCGTTTTTTTAGGCGCTAGATACCAAGATTAGATGTGATATGATATTGTATTCTCGGTATTTGATATAGAAATCATTGGCAAATGTTGAAAAATAGCAATATAATGTTAGATTATTCGAGTCTCCAAAATTGTTGAAAATAATGTAATTTTTGATGATCAGAGATTGAAACCCTAAGTTTCGACAATTTTTGTGATAATTAAAAAATCGTGAATTTTCAACAATGGTGTTAACTCAAAACGTACTTTAATTTGCAAAGATAATGGGTAAAGTGATGCATGAGTTAGATATCAAGATCAAATGTGATACTGCATTTGATCTCAACATAAATTATAGAAACTACGTACTATCAACTAGTGGTCAGCAGAAACAACAACGTAAGAAATTATGTAACCCTAAAGTAATAACTAATAAGCTAATTAGTAATAAGTTAGGTAGAAATATCATTTCTAACGAAAAAATTTGAATTTCTGATCACTTTTTGGTGGTCGAAAATCACGAATTTTTCAGGTGTTTTAAGATCATAACATACTTTAATTTGCAAAGTAGGTGCATATATGATGTGAAAGAGAGTGCATGCATAACCTTAATTGATGAAGAAATACAACACCATGAAGCAAGAAAATTATGAAAGACAGCAGATATATAGCAATTGAGGATGGCATCCTTAGATTCCAAAATGAGGGACCTCTACAACTTAATGCCCAAATGTGACCACTTTCCTCTCTCTCTCTCTCTCAGCTATTTTCTCCCTCCCAGTGAGATTGATGGTTTGTGTGGACAGCAATGCTTTAATGAATGCATAAAATTATTATTGCAACTTCTAAATGTTGCAGTGTTCCGTAAGTGGTCATAATCATTTTGATTTGTGTTCAAGAAAATGAGCTTTAAGACAAAATTAATGTTGGGGGTTTGGGGTGGGAAGAAAAACAGGTTTCTTGGGGTGGTTCACTTTTTTTAGAACATCAAGATCACACACCCATTTCTTCACCTTTGACATTCAAAAGCATGCATTTGATCATTTTTGTATATACATATTCATTCATGTTTGTACTTGATTTATAAGGTCTCCATACATTTTTACATTAATATATAATAGTCATGTAAAATGTATTATACATCTTCAATTCCAAATTCCATCTTCAATGCAAACTTTCTTACCCATTACAATTGTGTTGGTCTTAGTAGGCCAAGACCAAAAAAGAGATCGAGTGTAAATTTGGTCTTGTTGTGAACACTAGTATAAGTATTTAGAGGATCTATGTATTATATTAGTTGAGACACATTCCGTAATTTATTTTCTTTTACCAATTTTTAAAACATGAGCATAAATGAAATTAAAATAGAGTTTTGAAGAAAATTGCATAAGGAATTGGCAAGTACTAGTAAGGATGATGACTAGTAATTTGCTAAAACCAACAAAGATCTTAGCTTAGATTTGATGTCCTATGCTTTGGGAGACCAGCAATCCATCTTTGAAATCTTTCATCTCTTTTTTCCCTTCATCAATCATCATACTCATCAATCCCCATTTTACATGTTTTTACCTTTGCTTCTTTATTTTTACCACAAAAAATTCCTTATATTACAAACTTGACAATCTCATCGGCTCCATCCTATCATCACTAGAGATTGATCGAGCTCCTAAATTAAATCCCAAAAATATTTTTAACCATTTAAAAAAAAAAAAGAATCAAAATATTCATAAATATAATAAGAACCACCTTTTTGACCAAGATGAAATCCTTGAGGGGATATTTATGGTGATGCTAGCGCCATCTTGAAGCAAAAAATGGACCCCCACCAAGCCATGAAAAAAGCTAAGCAACCAAAAAGCAAAATATAAAACCCTAATCTCTCTACCTTCATTCCAAACAAGATAACCGGTTCAATTCTTAACTCTGCATAATACATTTCACAATTTACCTGCTACCTTCCAAACAAGGTCACAGATTCAATTCATAAATCTGCACTGCACATTCCACAATTTACCTTATCTATCTTCAAATTTTTAAGACAAAAGTTATGCAACGCTCACGATGGGGCATTACCCAATGAAAAAATATATATAGCATCTCAACTTAGATAGCTTGGCTTGGCCTTTACCTCATCTATCATCTTCAAGAATATAACCACCTTACAACTAACACTTGTACTATACTCATGTCCATTGGGTCTTGATCTTGAAAGATATGTTTTATCTATCTATTTTCAAGAAAATCCAAGCTAGAAATGGAGAAGGACCATAATAATAAAGAAGCTAAAGGAGTTAACACTTGAGAATGATAAGAGTCATAGATTATATATATATATATATATATCATAGAGAAATTTTATTTCTCTTTGATTATATTGTAAACCCCCAAACCAATATAACTAACATAGTAATTAATTATAATAATAACAGTAATTACTAGAAATTAATACACTTTTTTTTTCTTGAAATTACAAAATTAATCCATTGGCAATGGCTCGATTGGTGTCAAGATGGGTGGTTTCGTACACCGGCAGTTCTTCGCTGTACCTCTCCATTCCAATGGCGGAAAGATTATCCAACTCGAAGAGGTCGGAGCTGGCGTAACTAGCGGCGTCGTCATCCTCCTCGTCGTCGTCGTCCTCGACGTTTTCGAAGACTTTAAGGTTTTTTACGACGTTGGTGTTTCTCAAATCGAACTCTCTTTCCACCTTTTTCTGGTAGTTCCTTAGCAAGTCCCTCGCCGCCTCCTCGACGCGGCGGTTCTTCTCCATGACGCGGAGTTGCAGCTCTTCTTTGACGGAGAGTTCGAGGTTTTTGTGGCCGCATGGGCGGCTGTCCTCGTCGACGATCACGCTCACAGGGTAGAACCGCACCGACCGTTTTCCGGCGGCGGAGGAGGAGGAGGGAGTGGTGGTCTTGCTCAAGCAGGAGCGTGAGAATGAGGAGGCGGAGGAGCACGTGGAGGCGTTTGCGGATTTTACCTTCCTGTCCTCGTCGGAGAATTTCGCCTTCTTTGCAGTGAAAAGGGAGTTTAAGAAACTGGCTAGCCGGCCGCCGGGGGAAATGGGCCCCTGCTTCGCCTTTTTCAGATCGCCGTAAATCTTGAGAGCTCTGGATTTCTTCGTCTTCACTTGCGGGGGGTAGTGATGATGATCATGGGACCCGAGCTCCTTCCCGGTCCGGACCGGCTTCGGTTTCGGCCGGTTCAGTCCGTAGCACGACGAGCCGGAGGAAACTCCGACGACCGACTCCGCCTCCGACGACGAGAAAACCCCGCCGCAGCTGGAATCAGAGGAGCCGCTAGAGCTAGAGTTCCAAGCCCTCATCTTCCTATCCACCTCCGCCGTGGACTTCCGGCGAACCACCGCCTGCTCGCCCACCTTTTGCTCCATCCACTTCTCAATCATGCACACCCGCCGCAACCCCGCCACATCATCTTCAAGAAAGCCGCCATTTTTACAGCTCCCCTTAATCACAGAGCAGTTACTCTGCTTCTTCTTCCTCATGGAATCTCCAAAACCCACCAAATCTTCTTCCTCCCCTTCTCCCCCGCCGTCAATGGAGCGATAAATAGCGTCGAGCAGAGTGGAGGAGAAAGAAGGGTTATTAGAAGTGGGAATCTCCCTGTCTCTCCTCTGAAACCCATAGGCATCCATAGCTATATAGAGGGAAGCAGAGATAATCGAGTAGTGTCTGGGGTTGAAGGGGTCAAAAGCTGCAGAAAAGAGACAGAGAAATGATGCCAAGAGACAAATTACAGAGGAGAGCAGAGAGAGGATGAGTAGGGAAGGTGGAATGGGGAGGGAACAATGGAGACAAGAGTCATTGATTATGGGGTAATTTGGATTCCTGTTATACAGAGCTTGAAGAAAACTATAATGGCACGCCTGAGAGAGAGAGAGAGAAAGAAAGAAGATTTGTGCGTGGGAATTATACGTTGTTTCTTCTCTCACTTGTTGCTTTTTATACCATCCGCGGGGAGCAGGTTGGTCCTAGCTGGAACAGTGCCACCCTGCCAGCTTCACATGATGACATGCCCTACTTCTAATTCTATCTATCTATCTATGGTTAACTACCTATGTTACTCTACAACCTACTAACTTGTTGAATTGCACATTAATGGTTATATGCTTAACACGTTCCCTCATGTGTGCGAACTATTACTTTTTGATGGGCTCCTCATGTGTGCGGGCTGTTACTTTTGATGGGCTCCAAGCATGGACGGTAGTCTATTCTTTTTATCGGGTGGCGCTAAGATTCGAATCCACGACCCCTATGACCTTTTAGCATGGCTCTGATACCAAATTAAAACATGTGCTCCATCTCAACTAAAAGTTAAGCTGATAGTTGGATTGTACCTTTATGAGTTATATGTTGAACAAGCAGGACGTTAATGCAATTATAAAGTCAAAAAACTAAACCAACTTAGTTGGCGTGAGGCTGTGTACTCTTATCTCTTAAGAAAGATCGGGAGTCTCAAACCCCCTCTGGTCTGAAAACTGAATTATCATCACATAATGACACATCAAGAAGGAAAAAATCTTGTTTTACAAAAAGTCAAAAATAACATAAACGACGGATCTTAATTAGGAGTAAAAAGGTCACTAGTACATGAGGAATGAGCTAAACTTTAAGACTCCGAACCAAACTAGGAACATATAATTTTAGCAAAAATAGTTGATTCGTTGTGACATGAAAACGTACAATGGAGATGAGCACAAGTGTGTGTTTATCCTATGGTGGAGGGTCCAAAATGAACAGTGAAAAACTAGGGAAAAACACCATTTGAGAGGATGCACAAAATACATAATGAGAGTGATATTTGCAATCTATTGTAAAAATGTAATGAATAAGCTAAGCTCTCATATTTGTCACATTCGTATGCATGTCATTTTCATATTAGTGGACAAAGGGTGCAATCATTATAAAACGATAAAAGAACGAACCCAATGTTATAAAACACTGTAAATTTCATTCTCCAAATTTACCCCCCCCCCCCCCCTCCCTCCCTCCTCTGCCCCATTCCTATTTAAACCTACTGCTAATTAATATTGGCACTTTTAGTTTACCATTACACCAACTCCATGTCGAGTTGTTAAAATCAAATGATAATGTAAAACCTACTCCTTTCATACTACCCCAGGACAGTATTGTCATTTTATGAAATAAGACAACTTCAGATAAATTTCAGTAAAAACGTTTAAATCTTACTAAAAATTACTTTTTTAAGACCGTTGTTACATATACCAGGATTTGAACTGAATAACTTTAGGATTATATTCGCATTTCACAATAAACTTAGTTAAATTTTAATCAGGAGTAACTCTCTCAAGAGCATGATGTTACTATTATATATACATAAGTTCGAAATAGATGTCTTTTAAGTATGATATTGTATAGTATGTATTGTAAAAATATTTATATATGTATTGATTTACTCCACTTTAGACTTTAGTAGGAATTGAATACCAATAAATGATTGCACTCGTGGCTCTGTGGGTTTGGGCCTTGGGGAAGCCCCCCCCCCCCACCCCCCCCCCCACCAGTAGGGTGGGGGTGGGGTGGCGGCAAGCAAACACTATCTGTAAGAATATAGAATAAAGGAAGATTAGATTTGATTGAATACACGAGGATTAGCATGAAAAAAGTGGAATTAACAAAAAGTAATTATACGTCCTTCTTATGAACATTCCTTTCCATTATATATTTCTTTCTTCTTTGCTGCTTCACCATTCTTATTGCTTTATGTATTATTATTATGACTACTTAATGGAATCAATTTTAACTCTTAACTATCAAGCTAAGTGGTAATTCACGACTAGAAAAAGACAGAAGAATAATAGAATTTGTAAAAAAAGAAACATGATTCAAATAGAATGTCGTAGTGTCGTTATTTTCTATACATAAAAGATTAAACACTCGGAGACTTAGTCTCGTCACTTTTTTTTATGCTTCCTCTAATGATATTCGCAATCTTCTATTTGTAAACGTTGTTAAAATCAGTATATATATATTGGATACTAACTATGAGTACTTGCGTAAAAAGTATTGTGTTACGTGTGCGGTGTTGAAATTAAAGATGCAAGAATATATGTGTTGACTCGAAAAAGTAGCAAGTGAGTATCCCAATTGAAGCTTAATTAAGCAAGCTAGGAATGAAAATGAATTAAGAATTAATGGTGGAAATTGAAGAGCAAAATGAAGAATAAAGGCAGACAGATTCCATTCAGATCATCAGGGAATGAGATGAGCATTTCTGGGAATTGAACCAGAATTTCAGACTAGTTATACATTGCATTTTGAAAAAGTGGGATTTCACAAGTCTCCCACTACCATCAACTCATTCATCCCGATCTCCCAACAATATATATATATAGATATACAGCTAACAAAAATACAATCTTTATACCATAAAAACAGTACGTACAGTGAATATATATATATATAGAGAGAGAGAGAGGAGCTTAATTAGTACGTGGTTAAAACATGATGATATGAAAATGATGAACATTAATAATGATAAAAGGTGTGGGGGGAAGGGGTGAACAGCATGCAATATAATGGAGTAAGATTACACGCCAAGATCAGAGATGGTGTTTGTTTAACTAAAAGAGAAGGAAACATAATTGTGTGGGTGTGGATTCTTTGCCCCATATATATGTTGATGGGATACCTTGCATTATATTATATTTGAGGTGTCACCCCACAACTAGTATAGCCTAGCATCTTAATGGAAGTCCTAGCTAGTTATAATAAGGCAGATTATCATATATTCCATGTCTTAATTCTTACACGTGTCTCTTTATGTACTAGTTCGCAGTAATTCTTTCATTTAATTTGTAAATATCTTTATGTACCAGCTAGCAATTCTTGAAGCCAGGGAACATGAGTGGTGAACAAAGTCTGCATCCTCTAATCTGATCTATCTTGATGGGAATTGAACAAAGTTACCATTCCATATCTTGATGACATGCAAGCCTCATTGCATAATCATGCATGCTGCAATTTCTATATGTTCATGGAATATATATATATTATTGTCCACTTTAATTTGGTTTGAAGAATGAATTGAAGGTAGTGGGAACACTGATTCCTCAGAAACCAAGGCAGCAAAAACAGTGGGGCCGATGGGGGGGGAAGAAACATGCATGCAATGCGACAACACAGAGTGGAGAGGAGAGAGATGGAGCTAGCTTTAGTAGTGAAATAGAAATATGGTGTGCATGGATCTGTAAAGCTAGCAAAGCAAAAGAGATCGATGAGAGATAAAGATATGAAGGAATGCAAAAGAAAGAAAGAAAGTAGATCGATCCAATTCTTTGTTGGTGATCCCTAGGCAGAGATCGAAGAGAAGAATAACAACTTCCAACGTCCTAAACATACTTACTGCTGCTGCATCATTACCCACACAACCACTTTATTCATCTGCCACCACACCCAACGTTAACCATCCACTCTTCACCTGCTTAAACCAAACCCCAGAATTTCTACCTCTTTAAGACCCGCTCAACTCTGAAAAAGGTATATATACACTGTTCAAACAGACATCCCGCCTAATGATACAGGGAGGGAGAAAACTTTTCCCTAGTATACCCAACTTGACAAACAACAAGGAAGAACAGAAAAGCAACAATGGAGGAAGAGGAGACCAGGCCTTGTTGAACTCGTAGATTTGATTTGATTTGATTGATTGAAATGTGTTTATGTGTTGTTCTTATTTTACAAGAAAGTGAAAACCCCGCCTTAGCTAAAATAATATCAAGTGAAGCGTAAGCAGCAGTAGTTTGTTGTTGTTGTTGCCTTCAGAAGTTTCCAGTCCAGTTCAGGTGACCTAATTGGGGTTGCTGGTATGCGCCCAGTTGAGTTCCTGGAGCTGCTGCAGCAGCCATGCCAACTCCAACGTTTCCACTCATTGCGGTGCCCAGATGGTGGGGATTGGCTATTGGAGTGGGTTGGGGTGGGGGATGGTACACCGGGAACTGCATATGTGACGACTGAGCCACAGCGGCGGCAGCAGCTGCAGCTGCGTTGAAAGAAGCATGGCCACTGTGGGAGGGCATATAGGCCCCATGTGGTGTTTGTGCAGGCATGTTGAAATATGAGCCTGTCTGCAAATTAGGTACGTCCCTTGCATTCATCCAAATTTCTGATGTCTCTGCCTATAATATAATATAATATAATATGAATCAATATTCTTCAAGTTCAATCTTAAAACCCCACACTCAAAAAGCTGACATTTACCTGTGGATTAGGAACATATAGGTTTCCGTCCTTGTACTTGAGTCGAGTTGAATCATCAAGCCCTGCTGCACTGCCAATCACGCCTGGAGCATTCATGGCATAACCCGTAGGACTAGTGAAACTTCCAAATCCTGTTTGACTACCAGTAGGGACAGGTTTGTATTGCTGCATCCCATATTTGAGCCCACTAGCACTTAAATGGGAACTGCCCCCAGGCATCAGTACATAACTGCTACCATTAGAAGGATGAGGGTAGGCAGGATTACTGGAGTAACCGGGCATAGCCATTGGAGGAACATACACAGGGGAGAGGAACTGTCTATACGGCATTATACTGGTAAAGTGAGGAACATGAACTTGTGGATACATCTGAGCTACTGGCTGCTGCTGCTGCTGCTGCACTTGTGGGACCATTCCAATTGAAGATGCAGGGATGATATTACCACCATGTGTACTGAGAATCTAAGAAATGAGACATGTCGTAAATACCATTGTAGCATAAGAAAAATGGGAAGAAAACCGAGTGTTACATACAATGGATAGATATTCAAATCTTCAATTAAGGGAAGAGATGATACCTATTCCATGCATATATAACGTGCCCATTTGATAATGTTAATTTAATTAGGTTATTGTGAAGCAAGATTTTTTTAGACAAGTAAAACATATAGATCAAACAATTCAGTCTGTACATGTTTGGCAAAGGATATGAAGTACAGGTAGTACAACACTTTTAAGCTATTTCAGGCAGTAATCCAAAATACGTAACTTGAGTTGATAACGGATCCCAAATCATAATCATAAGATTTTACCAAACAGGACCACTATAAATTT